TAGAGTACCATGAAATATTGCGTCGTCAGTTTTTTCACTCAATCCAGCCTCATGAAATCGGAACACTCTTCTTTATGAAACAACAATTTCCCTTTATATTTCTCGCCGAACGCGTTTTTGAAGCTGTGATATATCACAGAAAAAATGCAAGCGGTGTGCTTTCTGAATTGCACCCACGCTTTCAAACTTTTTTCTTAATTACTTTGAAACTTTTTTCGCGAATTAAGTCAACCATGACCATCTCTTGGCTTCTACTCAAAAACATGCACGTTAAAGAGCAAACATTTCGCTAGTTGCGTAAACTATCTTATTCAAAATACAGAACGTAATGGCAAGATAACTTTCATGTCAGGAATTTGAATTACATTTCCAAAATACATAATGTAGGATACAAAATTTCATTATAGTTCCCCGTCAACCATTCAGTGAGCACAGGAATCGATATAGAATTTTCGAATTTCTGATTATTACCAACAATATTCGTCTAATGATGTCTTTGTTTTTTTGTTCCGTTTCCTACAATGACCGATCAGGACATTTTCAAATTATTAGATTTAATTTAATACATATTTAATGACATTTTCCTTTTTATTGTTTTTCACTCTATTGCAATCCCACAATTTTCTACAGAATAAAATATTCGAAATTTTCTTCTCACTGTTAAGGAATAATACACTTTAAAGCAATGAATTTTCCAGGTATTAAACGAAAATATTTCCCTCAAACCTATTCAGAATTGATAATCGCGACCTTAGACAAATAGTCGACTATTATTTTAGTCCGGTTATTATTATATTTCTTAATAAATGTTTGCACATTCAGATTTTTCGGGACAGGTAATCTCGTGTTTGACGCAGACTGTAAAAACACAAGGTACACTGGATCTTGTGACAACTTTAGCTTCTGTTACGATAAATATATCCAGACATTACTAAAGAAAATATTGTTACAACTGGAGTAATGTATGCTAAAATATAACTGTAGTTAATATGATTTATACCCCCAAACTCATACATTACTCCTTGATTTTGTTACTTGTTAATTGTGTTTAAGTTTGAAGCTTGTTAGTAAGTTTTTTATTTCATTATCCGTTTTCAACACAACGCTGTTAATGCTGGGTTTCACATACTAGTATAAGAAAGCGTATAATTAGTCACGTCACTTTCTTGTTGTATCAATATTATCGTGAAGTTGCCTAAATGATTCTTGGTCTACACTTGTTCTACATGCACTGTAAACTGCTTTACCATGTAATGCACAGCTCTGTTATTAAAATCACATCATGTTACTCCCACGTCTTGTAATTTATAAAACCCTGAGACTGCACAGTTGTGGTGTGAAATATGGCTCCTACATCATTAACTCATAACGCATGGCTGCAGACAATACGAGTATACACAGATCAGATCTGTCGAGCAAAGCATCCATATATTTCGCGAACGCCAGTGACCTTTACAATTTGCATTTTTCAGCAAATAGTATTACGGTGTTCAGATCCACTGGCATAACGTGCAGGAGCAGATACAAGTATTGCATACACAATTTTAGCCGGAAGATTCCATTGACAGACGTAGGCTTCGAAAGGAGCGATTGTATTAAACCACATACTAGAAAAATAGTGAGGGTGTGGTGTGAGTCCATCTTATCAGGCCTGGTTGCAGTGACTTACCCGAATTTCCCTTGTGAACAGTGTAATAACTTCCGAAGTCCATAAATGCGGGGGATTTTTTAATCAGCTACGCGACTATCAGCTTATAAATAAGAACAGTGTCATAGACTCCACCACGGTATTCTATAACATTCTGTCTTTGTGTCTCTTTGTTAATGATGGTTGGAAACCTAAAGGAAAGAGTTTAGTCAGAAGACGTAGATGGAAACGGAAGAATATGAAATTATTCAAATGTAAATAATGTTTAGGGTGTGAATCGAATTCATATGGCTGATAGAGACCGGTAGTGGCTTGTGTATACGTTAATTAACTTTCGGGCTATACAGGGTGATTCAAAAGGTTAGGGCCAATCTGAAGGAGCGTATAGAGGGACTCAGAGAGAACAACTTTCGAATAGGAATCCATGTCCTCCGAAGTTATCCTGTCAGTCGAGGCCATTGAAGGTAGGGAAGTCTGATAACATACCGCTGAAATAAACTTACTTTGCTATTCTCCTACTAGCTTAATTTTGTTTTTTATTAATGTACAAGAACTACATTAGCAATCTTACAAACGAATTATTTCAGCGGTATGTTATCAGAATTCCCTACCTTCAATGGCCTCGACTGACAGGATAACTTCGGAGGACATGGATTCCTATTCGAAAGTTGTTCTCTCAGAGTCCCTCTATACGCTCCTTCAGTTTGATCCTAACCTTTTGAATCACCCTGTATAAAAGGAGGGAGAATAAAAACAGAATCATGAAGATGCCCTTTTAATAATTTTTATGTAAACAGTGTGTAATAAATATGTCGTTAGTTCCGCAGAAAAGCTGTGTCGCAAACTTCTTACGGACACATCCGTGTGATAAAGGCTTCCATTGTGTTCCGGTGTTTTCATTAAGACCTCGGTGACAACACACACACCGCAGGGAGGGGCAGATCGTAGACGCTGACAATTATTCTGTGTAAAACGCAGGGAAATTTCGACATTAGGCCAATGAAAATAGTACCACGTATACAAGAATCCATCCGTTGAAGGTGAACAATGAATAATTCTTTTTTCAGGCGGGAATAATTTGACGGTGGTGAGCCAATAGTGGATATGTTCTGTAAGAATCAACCTTGCGTGTTGTTATTTAAGAAGCTGCGACAGCGGTGAGGTGCTGGCAGTGCGTTCAAGAACGTGGAGTAGATATGGATATTTCTTCTGCTGGGATTCAGGTAGGCTATGAAAGTAAACGTGTGTACGTATAAGCCGTGGGTAGACATTAAATGGTGTTCAAATTTTACGGGAAACATCATTTCAGAACTTCAGTTCTATACTTGTTATATTTGAAACTGTTATTCATAGGCAGTGTTTGTTGCTGTTAATTCAGAATATTTTATCTTCCCAGCTCATATCTAAAAGTGCAAAGAACAAAATATACAGAGCTATTATTTTACCGGCTTCTTCTTTTCATAAAAGCGAAACTTGATCTCTTAAAAGACGTGAAGAACACAGACTGATGGTACTTGTGAAAAGAGGATTACCGAGGAGAATATTGGATTCTACGAGGAAGCAAGTAACAGAGGATGTAAAACGTTGTATGAGGAGCTTAATAATTCGTATTATTCACCAAATATTAGTAGGGTGATCAAATGAAAGGGGATGATATGAAATTTGAAAACCGTAAGGTAAGAGACCGGATTATAGCTTTCGTTTGTCCATTAAAGCATATGACGGGATAGTACGTGCCTTGATTTCGGCTTTTTACAAATTCAGATGAATCGATATCCCAATCTCATATTAGTTCCACTAACTTCATAAAAATTACCGGAGGCAGAGTACAAAAATAACGCAAATTATATGAATTTATGACAGAAATCAATTCGTGTTACATATGTAGACTTCATCATATCATTACAAAGAAGAACATATTTGTAGTTTTCTTTCTTATTTGTTATGCATTCCATTTATTAAAGTTTTCGGGATTCTTTCCCGCAGTCCGGCTACACTTTTTCCCCCGTTGTGACAGAGGTTCTCCGTCCCAGATAAGTTCTTTGTAGCAGAGTAGAGAAAAAGATCACATAATAATAAATATTCAAGCATGGAATCTCCACTGCTCCTCATTTCTGCGTTTAGCTTTTTTTTTCTAGAAGTAATTTTACGTTGCTTTTCGCTAATTCTAAGGACCACGGACATTCTTTTAGTGAAGAGAGCCTTGCGTTCGAGAAAGGATTTTATTAACAGGTTTTTCTCTACAGTTTAT